TGGTTGTTGTTACGTGCTGTCCCAGAGTGACCTATGCACAACAGAATGAAACACTGCCTGGTCTTGCATCCGCCTCATCATTGTTCCCATTCTTGAGCCCATTGTTGCAGACAAGGTGTCAATCAATCTCTTTGAGGGCCTTCCCCTCCTTGTTGCCCTCTACTTTATCAAACCTGATGTCCTTCTGTCGAGGCCGTAGGTGCTTAGGAAAGGAGGAGGAAAGGAAAGAGGAAATACAGGGAGTACGGAGGGTACATCAAGGGGCTTTCTAAATGCGTTGAAAAACTGTGCATACCTTGTTAAATGTAAAATTGATGATCGGCTCTGTCAACCTTCACCTAATTTAAAACATATATGTATGTTTCAAAGATTTTTACTGGGTGCTGTGGAAGAAAGGGAACAGTAAGGGACATGGTTTTCCTTCCCAAAAAGCTTCTAGTCATGCACAATCTTCACACAGGAAAGAAACAGCTCTGACGCTCAGAACACCTACGCCTTCGGTGCCTACAATGTGCCACTTAACTCAATCCTCACAGCAACCATTCCATGGTAGGCATGGTTCCCGGTAGCTTTGAGATAGGTCAACTTAGACCAGATCCACTGCCATCGCGTCCATTCTGACTCAGTGATCAAAGATAGGGTTTCTGAGACTGTATAGCTTTACTGCAGTACATAGCCTCATCTTTCTCTCAAAGACTTGCTGGTGCATTTGAACCATTGACATTTCAGTTAGCCGTCCAGTGCTCACCCAACTTAAAATCAAAAAACAGAAAACTCACTGCTATTGAGTAAATTTTTTACTCCAGAGGGCAGATTAGAACTGCCCCTTTTGGTTTTCTGAGACTTTAAACCCGTGCAGGAGTGGACAGTCTCATCCTCATCTCTGATTTAGATTAGGAGCTTGTTAGTAATAGCTTCCAAACAAAGCAGGATTTGAATCCAGGTCAGTCTGATTTCACAGCAACGTGTTTTCAATTTCATTGCTTCAAATTTTTTTGGAAAAAGTTTTTAAAAAGACTGAAGAACGAGTATTACTGGGTAAGGTTAACTTGAGGCATCTGTATAGATGGGTCGTGGAAACTTGGAGTCATCAGTGCTGGGATGAGAAGGAAGGCTAGCAGAGGACAGAGTAGAACAGGGAGAGCGAGCTTGTGTATATGACCAGGGTGTCAATTCTGAGACAGGCAAAAATGGGAAGAAGTAACAAGAAGAATTCGTCCCTGTCTTTGAGGAAAGAAAGACAGCATCAACCCAGATCCTAAAGGAATTTTAGGGAAGGAAAGGACAAAGCCCTTTTCACTACAATGCCCAGGAAAAAGCTGAAAGATTTCTTCGTGGAATTGAACGATTATGGAATATTTCCACAAAGTTTTTGAAGATACCTTGTATTTGGTGCTGCAAAAGTAGAAATCTTTGAAATCCCAAAGAAAATTTTCAAATCCTTCCCAGATTTGCCTGCTGCAGAATTTGCATCCTGCTAGTCATTTCTCTCATGTCTAGACTGCCTAACCAGCCTGCTCAAACAGAGGCACTGACCCATACACACCGGCCTCACTTCTATCACCTGTCTGTTCCTTGTCCTTAGGCAGCCAGCACACGGACTGACCTGGTCTGCTCACTTCCACAGCAGTCCCAGACCTCCGGTGACCTCCACACCTCTGGGGGCTATGTCAGCTTGAACGCTGTCCCTCTTCTGTGAAGGTCCAAGGGCTGGAAAAAGATGTTTGTTTGTGACGTGGGGAAACTCATGGTTCATTTTCTCCAACATTGACCTGGAATGCTCCTAATGTGAAACAACTGTTATCTCAGCTTAACTCATTTAGGAGGGCAAACAAATAACGAATTAAAGGTGTTGGCAAAATATAGGAAATAAAACAAAGAACATCAGCAGATGAAGGAGAAAAAAACAATAGATTAAATAGAAAATTGGTAATTGATTCTTTGAAAATGGAATTTGATAGAAAATGGAACGAGTCGTTGAGAACAAAAATAAAAACTAAGCTGAGATTCAGAAAATACGTCTAATTATAATATAAGTAACATTTAAGTTGAATGTTATTTTAAATTCTATGCTAATATGTTTTGGTGTCAATAAAAATGATGGCTACTTACAAATGCATAAAATTTGCTCCAAAGGTTGCACAAAAAATTGAAAGCATTAATATA